TAAGTATTTTAGAAAATATTTTTTATCATTATATCAAACCGTTTCTTTGCAACGAGTTATTTGACGAGCGCAGGAGTTTATTGCTAAGGCGTGGACACAGTTAGCTGGTTAGAGGGTTTTTCACTCAGTGCAAATATTGTTGTTTGCAAGAACCTAAATGACGTCTATCACTCATTCTCATTAATGGACTTTAGTCTATTAAAGCAACATTGCTAGATACGCCCGATTTACCTATGTCGTACTTAAACTAGCTTTTAACCTTAAAAAGTCGTTACGATTCGAAAATGAAAATTTGGTTGCCAGGTTTATGCATGTTTGCGATATCTTACATTTGCAATTTGGTCCTGTACCGATTGTAAGTGTAACTCTATGCTAGTTGTGTACATGCATTTTTCCTTTCTTCTTTTTTTTTCCTTCTTATTTGTTTTATTGTACTAATATCAAGTTTTATTATTAATTGATATAAGTTTTGCTTTAAATGCCAATTGAACTCGACTGTTATTTGTCTAGTTGAGTTTCATATATAAAAAGAATTAAAATAAATAAATAAATAAATAAATAAACACCGAGAGAGAATCTTCAGGGACTATATAAAGTCGGTATGTTTGATTAGTATCAAATCTGATTCGTTTGAGAAATGTTTGTCAGACCGCCTGTTTATCTGCCTGTTAATTGCCGCGGTAAACGTGTTCATGAAAGCAAAAATCGGGGTAACTATTTTAAATTTGACGAGAACGTTGGTTGATATTGAAAGCAAGCTTTCAAAGCTTCCTACGCTTTTTGGCCATAAGCTACAACGATCACCCGATATACATTTCAACATTATGCACGATAGAAATTTAGTTTTTACTTTCTTCAGATAAAGGGGTTCAGTATAAAAGATTCAATCGCGGCTGAATATAATTTCTTTACTTGTTGATCTTAGTCTTTGTCTTGTTATCTGCTGACACAGATCTTACGCGAAGTGCGAATTTACAGCGCCTAATATCAACTATTTGGTGAATGGTTTGCTTTTCGCTTTTAAGAATATGAATAGAACTTGATATTTTTAAAGATCGTAATAAATGAGAAAATTGCTTTGCCACACTTTGCGGTTGTAGATTATATTTAATACAAAACACTACTAATCACGATTATTTTTATATGATTGACAAACTATAGCCTCACGTGATAAGAAGATTGTGAAAGAAAAACAAATAAAAATAATAATAATAAAGTAAATAAACAAACAACACTCAAAATCGTCGTGAATCATGCATAGGAAAGCAGAAACTATATAACACCTCAAGCGATAGAAGGAAAATATATAAAATGAAGAAGAAAATAAAAATAAAGGCACGGTACTTCAAGACTTCCATTAATTCCTTAAGCAAAGGACGAAATCCACGTGAATAGAAGTATCTGTGTATTATGGATGCACAACGTTCTGTTAATGGCCAGTATGGTTGCAACTACCTTGATGGCTTAGATAAGGCACACTGTGCATAGATTCAGGTTTCTTTTTTTTCTGCCTAATGTGGTGGATGGCCGTCCTTCTGCGCAAACGCAACTTAGAAAACTATATAAGACGGAGAATATATATATGTTAGATGGGGCAGACATGTGGATCTCCTGTTTTTGCTTCCCTTGTCAATTGATGAATACGTTTTTCATGTTTTCATTGTGCAGCCTACATTTACATGCTGTGTATACAGTATTCGAAACTCTTAATGGAAAAATATTATTTCGCGGACGTATTGACATATGGTCTCTACCTATTTCAACGAATTAGTTTTCAATTGACCTTGACCAACCAAATTTGTAGATGTATACACAAAATGAAGATCTTTCCGAATGCATTCCATATCCAAATATGAATCAAATCGAAGCTCACTTCTCTTGGCTTTTATTGAATGCCTGACATCATTCAGCAAGTGCTTTTGTTTTCGTCTTAAACGATTCCCCTTAGTTATCGTGCAATAATTGTCCTGCTTCGTCGTAAAAAGCACCGTTTGAAGCAGAAAGGCTGAGCCAAAATTTGCGCACGAGGACCTAATTCTTCTTTCATTGTAAACGACGGAAAGCATATAGAACAATGATTAATGTAAACAGCAGATAGATAGATAGGTCAAATTCTACGCAATAACTCGCGGAAAAAGGTATCTTATATCCCAAACCCTATAGGTTACGTAACTATTATAAATATTTATACCTTACATTACTGATGCAAACAACTTGAGAAAAATCAACCTTTTATTATTCCATTTCGTCTGTTTTTTTATGTTCAACCTACAGACCGCAATTAATGAGTGATTTCTATAAAATTTAGAATACTGACGTGAGTTGATCCAAGGACGAACTATATTGAAAATGGTTCGGATCGGGCGACTTTTTCGACCGTCAATGCTACTAATTTTGAAAAGTTTTTGAATTAATGTCTGCAGGCTGGTGGATGACCTTTAATGGTAGACAGTGGCTCATTATAGGGTTTTTGTCTATTTTATTTTATATGGCTTGACGGTGTTGTCCCAAAAATATTTACAATCGCCACATAATCTTTGGCCATGAGTATGTAACAAACTGACGCCTATAAACAAGTTCATCATTTAAACTTATTTGCATACGTAGATAAGAGACAAATAAAATTAATTTATATATGTGTGTGTAAAGCAACAGCTTGAATTTTACTTTCCTTGTGTTGAAATTCTTAGACTTCCACCGAGTGCTAAGGTCACTACTGCCCTTTGCCCTTGTTAGTTAAGGCAACTTTTTTTTTTTATAAATACTAATTAATCGTTAGAAATAAATTATTATATATTGTGATTAAATGTTAACGAACTTTTTAAAATAAGAAGATTAAAATTCGATTTTTATTGTTGTTGTTTTCTTTTCTTTCATGATATCAAGGATTTTAATATTTTTATTATAAAACTGTTTTTCTCATTACAGTTTGTTTGCATGGGCGGGACACCAAAGCGCATGGAAAACTTTGCACATTTTATTATGAATGAAATCGGTTATAAATTGCCAGCGGGCACTATGCTCCAGGATATTAGCGAATTTTCGTACCGCTATTCGATGTACAAAGTTGGTCCGGTGCTTTGCGTCAGTCACGGCATGGGAGCACCCTCAGTCAGTATTCTGATGCATGAAATGATTAAACTCATGTATCACGCCAAGTGTCAAGAACCAATATTCATACGTATTGGCACTTGTGGTGGTATAGGGGTTGAGGGCGGCACTGTTATCATCACCGAAGGTGCCCTTGACGCGCAATTAAGAAATTCGCAGGAGTTTGTATGAAAAGTTTAACAAAATAAGGAAATTTTTTATTCAAATTGATTTCATTTTTTTTCTCACATTAGACAATCCTGGGTAAGACTGTTCAGCGTCCTGCCAAATTAGATGAAAAATTGGCCCGCGAATTAAAGTCATTGGCCAGTCATGATGATCCCTATGATACAATTATCGGTAAAACGTTGTGCACAAATGATTTTTACGAGGGTAAGTCAGCATAATTTTCTTAAACTCAATCTGCGAAAAATCAATTAAAAATTCGATGAAATTTATAGGTCAAGGACGTTTGGATGGAGCATTTTGTGATTTTACCGAAGCTGATAAAATGGCATATTTGGAAGAATTGCGTGACCACGGCGTAGTCAATATTGAAATGGAGAGCACTATTTTCGCTGCTCTTACTCATCATGCTGGCATTAAGGCCGCTGTTGTTTGCGTCGCCTTACTTAATCGTCTTAATGGTGATCAGGTAAAAAAAGTTCAAGTATATACATATATAGAGTTCAAATATATATATATATACATATACATGTATATATACATATATATATATATACAAGACCATTATAGTCCGGCACAGCCGATTATCAAATATCCTAAACCACATTGTAGTGTGTTTTATGTCTTGTTTCTATATAACGGCACATTTTTCATGTGCGTATTTATGAGGAAGCGGGCTCAAAACGCAACCTAATGTAGTACAAGTTTAATCCTTACCTGTGGCGGGATCCAAAAAGAAGCGCAGATGATTCAAATTTTGTAGAGTTTATTTATTATTTATTACTAATAAGCGTCAATTTTCATCATCGTACATTAAAACTTAGGCTTTTCTCCTCTACAAGGCATCAAGTTTCGTGAAAATTCTTTTTAGGGCAGGACACAAAAAATAGGCTGACATAATTTTCATCATGGAGCATTAAAAATTATAGCTTTTTGTTTTGAAGGAAACTTCAGTTCTCGTTATATGAGAGGGAGTTCAAAAATTGCCTCAACCAGTCGAAAGTTTTCATACCAACTTAGAATACTGAAATACTACTACTTAATTTTTTTCCATAAAATGACATTTCAAAATTAGGCGTGCTACCGATCCGAAATATTTTCAATAGTGTTCGATCAAATTTCATCGAAATATCTCAAAAATTGCGAAGAGTAGCTTGAATACAAATTTACATGGACAGACAATCTTAGATCGATTTCGAAAACGATTCCGAATTGGTTGGAATAATGAACGGTAGATCTATCTTAACCGTTTCTGAGCGTTACATAAGTCCGCATTAACTATGCCCCGTACCACAAGTGGTGTAGGGTATAAAAAGAGAAATTTGTCGTGTATTTACAAAAAACGAATTATATTGTATTTTCAGGTTAACGCACCCAAGGAGGTAATGAATGAATGGCAGCAACGGCCGCAAACACTTGTATCGCGTTATATACGTAAAGTGTTGGCGCAAAAGGGTCAATTAAAGAATATGTTTGGCCATCAAGGTTTGTTCGGTCATCAGGGCTCAATAAAATCGCCCAGACGCTTTAAGTTAGTGCAGCAAGAATCGCAGGCTCATGAGTAAAATATTAATCAAATTAATTCCTTCTCGCTTATCGTATAAATATACCTATGTATGTATTAATGTATTTCCACTTTATACATGAACGTATAAATATATATATATATATATATATATATATATATATACATATATATAATGTATATATAATACTATATAATATATAATATATATATGCATAAACATATATATATATATATATATTTATATATATATACATATTAGATATCACCAAAAAATCTAATTAAATAAGTTGTTAATTAGTAAAAATAAAATATGTTATCACAATTTTCGTTGCATATAATATAATAAACTCGAAACATATGTGAAATACTTATGAATTAATTAAATGATTATGTAATTTATAAATATATAACAATGAATTATGTATTTCGTGTAAAAATTGAGCAAAACGCATAAAGAGGCTGCTGTACAAGCAGAAAATTGTATGAAAACTAAAAACGCAAATATTCCGGAATTAATTTCAAAAACATTGAATACTGTGATCAAAAACTAAGGCCAATATTAAAAATAAATAGCGCGGCCTGTATTGAATAGAAAATATATTTTTATCCAAATTGGTAGTAATGTGACGACATATTTCACCTTGCAAACGTCATTAATATTTCACCCGCGTTTAGTTTCGTAGGGTAGAAAAAATATTTTTCCCGATTTTTACAAAATGATGTACGCCCAACCGATCAAATGAGCGAATATCTTGGAAATGTTAAGACCGAAAGCATCGCTTCAAAGTCATTCAAAAATCTAGGTTATGTTAACAATTTTCTTCGATTATCACGGTGTTGCGCGTTATAAATTCCTTCCGCCGGTCGAACCTCTTAACAAAGAATATTATTTCAATTGGAAGATTCCTTTGGAGGCAACGAAATAGATTTGGAATAATAAATACACTTTAAAAAAAGCAAAAATTAAGTTGGTCTTAGGTTTTGCACGCACAGTGGTATATAAAGGAAAAAGCATTTAAATGTGAATGAATGTCAAGAAATGTTTATGAGAAAAATAACTTGTTTGGACTTATTATATACAAAATTATATCCTTATACATTTAAAAATTCAATATTTTTTAATTTCATTCAAAACGCACCTTAAGCACGTTGATAAAAGACATTTGTGTAAAATGCATTAAATTAACCAAAAAAAAAAAAAAAAGATTAAAATAAAAAACTAAAATAAAATAGTTAAATGCTTACCGTTAACAGTTTAATTTAAACCATTTTTGATGATTTTTGAATATATTGTTCTTTAATTTTTAATTTTTATTTAAGACAGACTAAGCACGCATATGCGGACCGACTTTTGAATTGTGTGCTGATTTTCATTGCTTATCTATGCAAAACCGAATGAGAAATTTGAAAACATTCCTTCCCAATAATAAATAGTGATGGCGGTACGCTTTAATACGCACACTTAGCCCTCAATCTTTTTTTTTTAAGTTTTATTTAATGGTAAGATGTAAATAAATTATTAATTGACGTCCGCCGTCATCAAAGACAATGTGATCTTTATGAAAAGTTATCTTTTCATATGAGCTCAACTTTTTTACTTCTTTTGATCGATTTTTTAAATCAATGGAAGGCTTTGTTCCCCGTACATACCTATCGGTCATAAAGTGACTTGATGCAATGTGAAATGTCTTTCATGTCTTTGCAGTTAAGATATACTTAATGGATTAAAAAAGTCCGTCGAATGGAAAATCCATAATTTCTACATTTGTTATAAAAAGACTTGGAGCGCTCATCGATAAGTTTTCGCGTGATCTTAAATCCAATATTAATAAAAAAATGAAGAAAAAATCGCACAACGAAGTGTTTACAAATTATTATGCTTAATAAACCGCAAAATCGTTTTTTTTTTGAATAGCTCGAAAATTGTTTAGGCATTTATTTATTTGAAAAAAAATCTTTTTTATTATTGTGTTTTTACGGAAATAGTTAAGTATAGAAAAATAAACGATTAGCATTAAGTAAACGTTATATTAAAGTTGATCAGTTTTCGTTACTTCAAACTATGCGCAATTATTTGACGTTCTCAAGCAATGCTTTTTTTGGATTCCGTAAATGATTTGAAAAGCTTCTCAATACTTTACATTTAATTTGAATGAAGGCGACGAATTTTTATTTAAAACCGTTTGAAGAATAGTTTGACACCAATGCGCGGATCGACAAATCGGATTAAACCGATTTAATATTTTATGTTTCTCAAAAATATATGGACCTTGTATGATCTTATTTCTTAAGGCTACGAACGAAACTAGTACATCTTACATTCCTTAATAGTGAGTATTAAACCAACAAGGTAACCTTGTAGAATATTTAACCAGATAGTAAAAACAAAAGACTAAGTACGCCCAAAAATATTCTTCACTAATAATACTTTTTGCAAATTTAGTTTCGTACAGTTATGAATATCCTTTAACTTCCTGACGTGTGGATAAATGCAAAAAATGCATAACTATTAAAGTTTTGAATCTATCCATCACGCATATTCAAAATACTGGCTAATCATTTACAAAATGATGAAAAGGTAAGGTTATTATGTTAATTCAAATCACCTCACTAATTGGCTAAGTGCTTCTATATACTTTAGCTAACGGAGCGTTCCACTTGGAAGTATTCGTCTATACCCTCCAGATTCTATCAGTTGCCCATCTTTTTTCCATTGATTTATATGTTCTGCAACTCAAAAGTGGTGTGGAAAAAGGTGAGAAGAATTTTATAGTATACAGAACTAACTAAGGCGTTGGATATGCTTATTCTCACATGTTGGGAATTTCTATACAAATTATTGAGAATATATATGCGCTTATTCCATAAAGTCACCAAATTTAATACAAATACATGCAAAATTATTGAATAATGTAAACAAACGTATATGCTTATTCTCAGTTGTTTGGAATTTCTATAAAAATTATTGAGAACATATATGCTTATTCCTTAAAGGCACCAAATTTTACATGCTTATTCTTTAAAGTCACCAAATTTGACGAGATTGATACTGAGAATGAAACAAAAGTAGCTGTTATACATTCTTCATCTTTTTTTTTGTCTCCGCAACAGCGACCTACTGTGACTGTTTTCAATTGTAGTGTTTGCCCGTGTGAAACGGTATCCGGTTTCCTTCGTTGCTGAATGCATTTTAATTACATTTTTTTCCGAACTATTTCTTTCCAATTGTTTTGATATGTCTATAAGTGTGCGTAAATGTCTCTTAAAAATTAAAGTAAAGAAAAGAAAAAATAAGACCAAGACCTATAATAAAAATAAGTTCAGTTATCAGAAATAGTTCCATTATTTCAGGACAAAATTCTTAGCAAAGGGCTTAATAACAATGTTTACTTTTTATTTTATAGTATTATTAATAGAGTTACAAGTAAAATAAATATGCAAATACACATCATATAAATGCTATTTACACGAGTCAACGTTTTATTATGAAAGCTTAAAAACTGTATTCAATCAGAATTTTGCGCTCTTAAAAACAAATATTTTAAACTTACCTTACTTTGAATAATTCCGGCAAAGCACTTTTACTATCTTGTTTCTTTTTGCAAACATCGCGCCTGCCGTGTATAGAGTGGAATAAAAGCCACAATTAGTTCTTAATGTCTGTTTTGTTTGCGGGCTATCAAAAAAATTCTTACAATCTCCGTTAATGGCATCAACAACAACAACAAAAAAGAATAGTTTGCCATTTCTTACCTCAATTTTATCTAGAAGTCGAGCCGATAGCCTGTGCTGCTAGTGCTCAATTTTTTTTTTAGTCTACGAATTTATTTCATGTCTAAAATTATAATAATAATAATATCTACAAGTCCCTTTTCATATATTGCCCACACCAATTTACAGGAAAACTTGTCGCACACATTTGGAAAAACAAGATAATAATTCTTTTCACTGAATTTACGTTAATTGCCTGACGTTTTACATATTACACATTTATTTAAATACTTACGCCGGTGTTCAATTTGCAAAGTGTGTGAAAATTACAATTCCCTTTGATCTGCTGTGATCGATTAAATTCCACATTTCATTGAAACAATTGGTTACTAGAGTTGCCATCCTCAAAATAATTTGTATATTAAACAAAATAAAGATTGTCATCTTTGCCTTTTTCCTATTTCGGTGATTAGTTATTCGTTCTATTAAGAAATTTTAAATATCGGGAGTTGTCAGCCACGAAAAAGCTTTTGTATTGAATTAAATGTAATTTGTTGACTTTGCTGCTCATTATATGTAGTTTTTTATCTTTTGTATATTATTTAAGAAATTCAAATTCTTACTACAATTGCGCTTTGAGAAAAATAATTAATAAAAATTTGAAATTCATCAAAACAATTTGCTTTTATGTTAAATTGTTGACTATTTAAGGACTGGCAGAGTTAAACAGAAAAAACAAAATAAGTTATTGATGGGTTTATTAATTGGCAAATTTTTTCCGCCAGAGAATTCTGTTGAGTTTATAGAGGTGATCAAAGGAATTGCTTTATGGTTAGGCAAAATTATATCTAAATTTTCGATTTTATAACCATTTGTTTCATTTACATACATTTATGTTTTTCATTTTTTGAAATATTGATGAATATTTTGCAACGCAGTCTGCTTTATACCAGTGAAGTTATCCAGTTTTCAGTGGTCAGCACATACATTGATTTCAGAAATATAATGCTTATATATAATACTAAACTAGAGGCTCAAGCTTATTTAAACTTTTATTTTTTTGCTTCAATAATTGCTGATGTCAGCAATTATTTATATGGGACGCTTGGTCTACTGTTGTGCTTCTAGCACGCTACGCTACGCGTGCAGTACAATTAGCATCTCGATATTCTAAATTGTGTATGAAAACCTTCGGCCGAATTGATCGATTTTTTGAAACCCTAATCATATAACCGTTTGTAAAAAAACTGATATGGTAAGGAAGCCTAATTTTCAATACTTCTTGATGAAAATTCGTTCATAATGATAATTTGGTAAAAAAGTTAAATTTGGACCAAGTTGGTCTATTTTTTGGATAACGAAAAATAAGCCCAAACAATTTTACGATGAAAATTTATCCTTAGTAAATCGATTGTAAGGAATTTGATCCATACAGATTTTTATTTTTTAGATCGCATCACTAGACGCATTTAGACGCATCGAGGGTTAGGCATCCTCATTTGTGAGGATTTTCACATAAAACTGATGTATAATTTTTGATCACTTAGCAATTAAGCGAGGCGTTGTAGAGCATCTAACGCTTGTTGTTGCCCGATAGCATTCTTACGTGTTTTTGATAGAAATTCTTGAGTGAAAAGGCAATAGTCTAAGGTAACTCTAAGCATCTTAAAAGGGTCTCGCTTAAAGTTCGATATTTGTTGAGAGTTTTTCTATGCTCTCTTCTGCAGGCAAATGTATTCTCTGCTCTTTAAATTAGTGTTAGAATTTACACTGAACTAGGATAGGGTATTTAAATATCAGATTGTATCTATGCACGCTTACACTTGTAACGTTTATCGTAGATGAAATGCATTAAGAACGTGCAACAGTAGAATTAGTATTAAACCAAACGTAGACGTGTGATAATCAAGCAGCAGCCGGACGGTTACAACTAAAGAGGAGTTATATTATTGTTAATTTAAACTAATTTTTTTCTTGTGACATCATTAACGATCTGCTGACCTGCATTTATTAAATGTTTAATATGCAGCGACACTTTAATTTAATGCAATAATAAAATTGTTATTTAAATTTATTAAAAAAAAAATTAAGAAACAAACTGTCATCGTATACATTAGTTATTCAAATATTCAATAACTTGGCAACTAACTCTGTAAAAATTGTAATTACTTTGTTGTTACAATACAATCTTAAAGATAACAAAAAAAAAAAAAAAATTATTGAGCTTTAAAAAAAAATTGAATTCGCTTTATGTTAATTGATATATTGAGCGTTAACTAATGTCAACTTTTTAAAGCTTACCGGCGAAATTGAGCAATCGATTTATTTAATCGGTTGTTTGAAGTGCAGTATCCTACGTCGGATATACATGTTATTTTACTTGATAGACAAGCTCCGATCAGTGTAATAAAAGGTAGGCATATATCAATGCAGGTAACCCTATATGAAAAAGAATAATTCAATTAAGTTCCTAAGTGAAACAATCACATACGTTCGTGGTTATCGTCAAAAATGGAGCCTTTGCAAATTTCTCAAGATATATAGTCCACTTTTCCAGAGATAGAAACTAGAAGCTTCCCTTAACATATTTTTACTTAAAGACTGGTTACATGCCTTGACCATAGAACAAACAAGTTAAGAGTTGGAAACTAAAAAAAAAAGGAGAGACCAAAACAAACTCAACTTCTTCTTTCATATCCGATATTGGAGAAAGTTGAGTGAGGTATAAATATTTGAAATTTTTTTTTTTTAAATTATCAGTTACCATAAATTTTCAGCTGTGTTAAAATATATATGTAAACAAAAGCGAAAATTTTCGGGTCGAGCAAAGCCGACTTCCAAACACTTCGCCCTATATGGCGTAATGTAATTCCCCACTTGCGTTCCTCATAGACTATCAAAAATTGCTCTTTGTTGCTTTATATAAAGCAAAAGTTTTCATGGGAACACTAACATGGGACAACGGTCAAAATAGTCCAAATTTGTCAATCTTCATTTTCTTCCCAAAGAGCTTTTTGTTCTTCATCTTTTTCCCTCATGAAATATGAAAGTTGTGCCTTATCGAAAAATAGATCACAGATAGGATAGGATGCAGACCGATCTTGGACGTGACATCGCAACTAACTTCGGGTCTCCATACAACAATGCAGCCGAAAAAAGACATTAGGGTAGAACAGAGACCAGACTTAGACACACCGTCACGCTTACCCGGACGTTACGTAAGCTTTGCCCGTTCGTTTTTTTTCTAACAACTATGCGTACATTTTTTTTAAATCGAGTTGTCTCTGATGAACGTGGTTAACCTGCTCATCACTGCCGAACAAGGTAGCTTTCCATGATACGGTTTGATGATTTGACGACAGTTTCAAATGACCTCCGTTTTGGGTGGCTTAGATCAAACTCTAGCTTTTCGAGATACCATCTTGTTAACCCTTTGTCTAGATATCAATATTTTATACTAACTCTTGTCATAAAGTAGTGAATATTAAACACACTTGTGTGTAAAACGTTTCATTTGAATTTCGGTGACTGCGATAAGAAGGCAAGAAAAATGCAATAACTAAACAAAACACTTGTTCTCAAAACACTTGTTATAATCGCCGCTCCTAGGAGCGAAAATACATTAGTTTTGGAAACAAATCTCTCAGTTCTCGTTATCTCTGAGTTGAACAAAATTATTGCGCCCTTTGAATACTTCGATTGCTCTGGTAATAATTTGGCTTGAATTATATATAGTCATAGAGCCATAAACTGCGCAAAACGACACAAATTCTACTACGACACATTGATAAAGCATTGAAAACGAATTTTCCCAAGTTGGGAGAAATTAATCACAGCAAGTAATTATCTTCGGTACTTTGCCCGACCGTGTCATAAAACAATAGAAAGACGTAGTGATAATTGCGATAATTGAAAATCAATGGAAGTAGAAATCGACAATCTTGGGTTGTTTTTTTTAAAAAGCAACATGACAGAAGATATAATAAAAATAAGAATTGTGATAGACAATGTGTTGTAGGGTATTGAATGGTTGACCTTGCCCGATTTGAATTGTTATACTTGTTTTTAAAAGTGTTTTATTTAATGGTAAGGTATAAGGAAGTTATTAATTGGCGCTTGCCGTCGTCAATGTGTTTATGCACGACAGTCAAAAACGATATAAGTGATCCTTTAGTCTAAGCTGAACTTTGTTTCACTTGTGTTTAATCGATTCCTTAGATCAAAAGCTTCGCTATGCCATAAGCGCTTCAAGAATACTTTGACTGAAACTCTTTCAACTCTCAAAATACTTTTGTAAATAAAGGTCATGGAACCCATTAGCTGTACGAGACTAATTAAGAAATCTTAGGAATTCCATTCAAGATATTTTGAGGTTTTTTCAGCTTATTAGATTTAATTAATATGCTTTTCATCTTTTCATCTTTAAATAAATGCGGAGCAAAAACAATTTCTCCTGCATTTCTTTCATGCGTTATTTTTGAAATGGATTTGCAAAACTGATTTTTGAACAAGCGCGCATGCGTTGAGCGTTGTATCTCAATTAGGTCGACTCTCTACATCTTGACTAACCAAGGATAGGTACAGTACAGTACCTTTAACAGTTCCATGCCGTGCTGAACTTCTAGGTACCGTAAGCGAAACGTTAGAATTATCTCACGTTATCGAAGGTGCATATAGAAGACAATAAAGGCCATCAATTATAGATTGCGATATTATCGATTATTTAATCGATTTACAATTGAATTAAAAATCGAAAAGAGTAAATTTCGTTTGATATTAGAAAGTGAAAACAATTTGCATTTCTTTGCTGAAGAGCGCAATTACTCTACAACTAAAGCCGATAGCCTTAGCTGCTAGTGCTTTAAGACTTTAGTCTTAGAATTTATTTCTCTGGCGAAATTAATAATAATAATAATAATAATAATACTCTGCAACTGATAATCGAAAACTCTATAAACCCTATAAGATGCTATTATTATTCCTAATCAATGTAGTACTTACCCTAAGCTGATACAGCTAAATTTGTCCGTTCGTACACAAGAAACAGAGAATTGCAATATACGTTCTTAGGTGATGGGCAGAGGTCATGTCTGAAAATGATGTTGATTTGATATGAAACATTCAAATAATACGCAAAAATCTGCAGCTCGCTGGCTAAAGAAGGCTTAGTATAATTATTTGCCAAGATTATCCAAGTTATTTCGAGGCTCTTCAATACCTACAAAAATGCCAATAATTGACTTTGTAATGGATAATTGATAAAAATTAAATCTATCTTTTTTTTGCACGTTGTGGCAGCGCTCTGCCAACTAGAGGCCCAACGCTGGGGTCAAAGCTATCCCGAAATCGCTTTCGCATTACCTCGAGATGGACTTTTATGGTTTCTCGATCATCACGAAATCATTTTACCTCCCCGCTTCTCGTCTAAGATAAGATGAACTATAACCGGTTTTTAATATATTTTTATACTATTAAAGAGAACAAAAACAGGAATAAGTGACTGACATCAGCTTAAATTTACATATCAGCATATAATGTGTAGGATATACATCTAAAAATATCCGCCAAAAATTTCATTGTTCAGCGATAATTTCCTAGAAATTAAAGTTAGTGAAATTCGCATAAGAAAATTTCAGTCATCCTATTCCGTTTTTGTTCACTTTAATAGTATAAAAATGTTGAAAACGGCCATAGTATGTTAAAATCCATTTAATCTTATGCATATAGATGTGTATGTGTTTATGTGTATGCTCGTAGATCGTCGAATTGTGGAGATAGCTGCAGTCAATCAATCGATCAATTAGTAACATGGACTACAAAGTTGAAGACAACGTCGAAGAAGAGTTTAGATCTTATCACGAACAAAGGAAAGCTTTCTACGAGTGCCTACGGGATGCGCGATAAAGCACTACATCTGCGGACAGGTGAAATGCCACGAGTTCTTGACAGAACTCCTCAAGAGCGACGAGGAGTTCTACAGTCCAGTCAATGGAAGAAAAGTCGCTGTCAATCAGAAAGACAATCTAATTCTTCCTAGGGAACAATTGAGTGTGAATTGGCCAAAGGAAGTGAAGCATATTGAGGGTTCGTATCTCGTTTTCGTGCGGCTTTATAACGAAGCAAATCTTGCAAAAGGCATTAGCGGGTTGCCTGGTGTAATTTTTATTTCTAACGACTTGAAAAGCATATTTTTTCCAAGTATGCCATGAGTCGTTCAATATATTGTTTGATATTCTTTCCCCTTTTTTTTGTTTAATATTTATTATCTCTTAGTCTATCTATCGGATTTTATTACTTATTTCAGGCACTAGTTATAAATACACATTTTTAATGAAATTTGTCATTTTTTACACTTGCTTTAACTAGGTATCTGGCCAAGTGTGTTTAAATATTTAATTTATCATGGCTGCGACAAAATTGAAAAATCCTCATCTTGATCAGATGACAACCGACTATTTATATCACTTAAATATTGCTATAGGCGATACTAAGAATTCGAAAAGTTTACAAAAACAATTTGGCGATGTTAAGGTAAGTTATAAGCGAATATAATCTTTAATCGGTTTAAACTGATTATTTACCGCATGACATCATGTAGGACGTTAGAACCGATTGCAAAGACTTGAGATTTGTGGAGTTTTTTGTTTTTTTGTTTTGTTCTGAAGAAAGTACAAAAGGAAAATATGTCCGAAACTTAAATTGTATAAATGGGACAGATTTAATAGACACATAGATACTCATAGACATCAGGAATTTGAAGTTGGTTGATGCAATAAAATGCTGTTCTTCTCTTCGTAAACAATATGTCATAAAGAACATTTTTTTAATTAGTTTATTTGTATGGGTGGCACTGGACAACGAATGCTAATGTTGGCAAAGTATTTGCGAGATAATTTGCAGTTTCAAGACGGGGGAAATGGAAGTGGAGATTTCATAAATCTCACTGAATCTGGCCATCGATATGCTGTTTACAAGGTAGTTATTACATCATTTTTCCAATTTGTCGATTTGTTCTTATCTTCATTTGCGAAATTCATTTAGATTGGTCCTGTGCTATGCTGCTCTCATGGTGTGGGTATTAGTAGCATGAGTATATTATTGCATGAATTGCTTAAACTTGTTAAATATGCGAAATGCAAAGATCCGATCTTCGTACGTGTCGGGTCAAGTGGTGGAATCGGCGTAAATGCTGGCACTGTGATAATAACTAAAGACGCTTATAACGGCCATTTACGCAATCAGTACGAACTTGTAAGTGTATAGCATAAGCGCTAAGGAGCTGCTACAAATAAAGTAAACTAATTAAGTTTGATCTATGTTAAGCACACTATCCTATCCTGGAGAATTTAATAATCTTTTCCTAATTGTTGTGCAGCACTCAGTCGCATGTATTATATGTCACCTTCTATATGCATATGTATATGTGTACACTTACATAGCGTTCAAGTGCATTTAGCTAGAATCATCTGTCTCGTGATCTTCAACGTCACATAGGAAAACTGAATTTTGGCGAGTTTTGATTGGGGCCTGTGGATCGTTTACAAAAGCGAATTTGATACGTCTGCACAAGCACCTGACCAATACGAACAGTTTACATAACTTAATCCATTGTAACTTTTACACAGTTTGCAGCACTAAAGACTCGACGTTTGATAGATTCGAACATTTCTCATTGAAAATAATTTTTAGTGACAAGACTTATTTTTATCTCATCTAAATCCGCCTGAGTGGCCGAGCAGGCAAAGAGTCTTGGACTAGCAACTCTCAACTCTGATCGTGAGTTCAAGTCTCAAGTGCGCTAGACTTTTCCAGTAAAGTCGATAGCGTCAGATGTTAGTGCTTAAGACTTTCAATTTAATAAAAAAGGTGAATTTCTTCCTTGTATATGTGTAAATGAAAAATTAATCCGCCGTTAATTCTCACGACCCTACCCGCAACATTCAAGTGATGAACAACTTTTATTGAAGACCGTTCTTATAAGTCAGTCTTCGTTGCCATAGTACTTCTTCCCAGTGCCTCATTTATAGCGTATAGGTACGTTCAAGGAATTTGCTTTAAAAGAGAACGAGAACAAGCAAATCCTCTTAATATTAGTTATCTGTTCGCACTTTCGACTAAAGTAGTCAATTAGTTGTTTTTAAAAAAAAAATTTCACGCCGCTAAAGACAGATATAGTTTACAAAGTTGGCATATCTTGCTTTATTACTGATCTTTGACTTTTCATTTTTCAATTCCAAATTTAGGCTATCTTAGGTAGAACCGTTAGTCGACCTGCCAAATTCGACGAAACTATTTGCAAGGAAATCCTTAATTGTGCAAAGAAAGATGACAATTTTGAAACAATAATCGGTAACACTTTATCAGCGGAATGTTTCTACGAAGGTAATGAGCTCCTTCAATAATAATAACACCCTAAAGTATCAGTTAGAGTAATCATGTCAAATGTTTTTTAGGTCAAGCTCGTTTAGACGGAGCCAGTTGTGAATATCGAAATGAAGATAAATTGAAATTCTTAGAAGAATGCCGTGTAAAAGATATAAAAAATTTTGAAATGGAAGCGGTTATGTTCTCAGCACTAATGCATCATCTGGATGTTAAGGCTGCCGAGGTATGCATCACTTTTTTGGATCGTTTAGAAGGAGATCAAATTAAAGTGACTAAACAGCAAAAAGAAGAATTTGAAAAGCGAGCATTTATTATAGTCGGACGTTATATTCAATACAAATTAAAACAATAATTTGAGGAGGAGTCACTCGCTCGCTCCCACAAATCAGTTATACTGATTTTCTATTATTCATTAACACATATAAAATGATACCACACATGAAGACAATAAAATTACAATTCCTCTATAAGTATTTTGCTTTTGTAATCCGTTTTAACATTCATGGGTAAAATAAATTCCGGATTTTTTTTGCTTTGCTCTTGATTTGTGGCCTTTGCTTTCTCCTTTTCATCGCCAGGAGCATGCATTTTACCTAATTTTTCGGCAGCTGTTATCAGTTTATTTTTAACGATACGATTCGGTTTTATCAAATCAGCCAAATCATATTTAATTTTTTTTGGCTTTGCTTTATCCACTTTTGTCGGCGCTTTTTTCTCCTGTATATTTTTTGCTTCCTCCTTCTTCTCAACTTTCTCAACTTTGGTTTCGGGAGTTTTCTCAATTGGTTTGGATTTTGCTTTAGAGCTTTCGTCCTGTATTTTCAGGCGTGTGGCTTTAGGCGGCGGTAGGTCTTCATATTGCTGCCGTAGTTCGGCGATAGCTTTAAGTGCGATCGCATTCCCATCATCCACTTCCAAGACTTTAAGATAAAGATTGTAAGACTGCAAGCAGCAATTGCAATCATATAATTTGCTTTAAAATCTTGTTTAAACTTGTTTTAGAAATACTTCTCTACCTCTTTTTTGCGGCCATAGGCATAATGCGCCTCAGCTAAACGTATGCGTGCTTTAATATTATTTGGTTCTAATGCCAGGCACGCTTCGCTATCCTTCATCGATTCATAGAATTTTTTTAACTTGAAGTCTTAATAAACAATAAAAATTAAGTTAAAAGAATCTTGAGACGCGATAGCGGAAATTATTGTTCGCCTCACGCTTAACTTGTATTTGTAAGGATATGTAAGAAACAACAACTAAGAAAGTTCTATTCGGTTGCGACCGAATCATTTATACCCATCATTGTTCTCCTATGAAAGACTGAAAAGAAAAGAAAGCTGTAAATGTGCATATTCCATAATATTGGACGGGCGTGGCTGACCTTTTCTGCTTTTAGAAAACAATTCGAAATTTGGATGATGTAGTTGTTGTGTGCACGGCACGACAAAAAACACGGAGGAGGAAAATTTTGATAGTTTGTGTTACATAGGCGTGTGGGCATTATAGGCGTGTTAGGTCATTTTCATATTCTTCTGCAAATTTGTAGGCGATACACAGGCGGAAAGATGTATAGGCGAACACGGTTAGGTGCATTCTAAATTTGAAAGTGGCATCAAATTTATAGAAGTGTTTTTTTTATGCTCGTCTCTACGCTTTATAAAGATATTGGAAAAAAACTGTTTTTTTGATATACTATAACATTTGTAGGCATGGTCAATTTTTTTCATTTTTGCACAGCTACCCAGATTTTTGAGATTTATCGGCTTACTTAGTTTATCAGTAATGAGCAAAAAAAACAATTTTTTATTGCTTGTGAAAAGCAGAGGTGTTGTCAATTTAAATGGTATTGTGAGCTTGTGCTTTAGCCGATTTGATCCATTTTCAATATCAGCCTGCGCGCAAGAAATTGCAATATTTCTGCCAAATTTGAAGTCGATAGCTTCCTTTTTTTCGGCCAGCGTCGGTTGGTTTACAGTAAACTTTACGCAGACGGACAAGCACAAACTCAGAATTTGATGCTGTTTAAGAAGAATGTATACACTTTAGAGAATCTCGGAAGCTTCCTTCTGGCCGAGCGTTCTGACATATGAAGAATGTATTCTATGAACTTGATACCGCTGCCACTAAGGAATTAGGTTATGCAGGTATATGCAGTGTGAAGAAATGTTTTGTAGACACTAATTGAAAAAGCCTGTAATCAAGCTAAATCATAAAATTAGAGTTAATGTCAGCTTGAATCTTGAAACTGTCTTTACTCCGACGATTTCAGAAAGGCGATCCAAGTGAATGAACAGAATTGTTTTACCCGGCATAGAGAAAAGTATCAAAATTGTATGCAAGAGAAATGTCAGTAATGGTTTTCCTTTGGACCTTAGGTCATAGATTCTATCACAAACCGCTTAAGCGACAATAACAAACAACCGCCAAAAAATTTATCTTCAAAAGCAGCTATAACGACTAAAAGGGTGAGAACTTTTCCAAATTCTATGAGATCTACGAAATCCCTAAGGAACGAATTAAAGCTATATAAGTAAAGTTATTCTTGACTCTTGGCGAGTATACAAGTTGTTCTCTAAAGCGGAAATGGTTTTCTTAGCTGTTTTTGAAATGGTTAGGTTTCTACTTACATGTCAGACCGCGATTATTGTAAGCCGCTGTCGCCTTTTCCGGATATATTTGAATAGAGCGTGTGTATTCTATCAAAGCATTATCGAATTCCTTGGCGCGAAAGTATTCATTACCACGCAAACGATACCTGAAAATCGCACAAAATATATATCATTACCTAGGATCATAGCTCCACTTTTTATAAATGAGACATTGAAAATATTTTCCAAAACAGTAACAGGTCCCGAGTATTAAGATTCGGAGAAATGTGTTATTTTATCAATTAGTTAAGTCAATTGAACGCTCTTGGAACCATTTTTCTTCCTGAACGTAAAGGGTTACTTACTCTTCCGAGAATTTTACTTTTTCTATATCCGTTAAATTCGTTAATTTCTCCTTTCCACTGTCGAATTCTTTTTGGATTTCGCTAACAGTAGGTGGCGGTTTACACTTGTTCGCATTCAAACGATTTTTACGCTCAACATCCTCTACAATCCGTTCTTCGGCCAATTCCATTCGTAAAACTTCCTCGTCCGCATCATATTTATCCCATTTAGAATAATCTGTAGATTTAATTCTTGTCGGCGGATCTTTCGTTTCTTTTTCCACTTTACTGGATTGTATTTTACCCGATGTACGCACTGGAGGCAGTCTCAAATTTTTCGTATCGTTGCTATCATTTTCATCTGCTAGTTTTTGTAGTTTATGATCTTTGTTTTTGATATCTTGATTCCAAACCTATTGAAGAAATGTCATTTTAAATTATACGCAAATATTTTGTTAACACAACGGCGCTCTCACGTAAATCGGTTTTAATTCGTCTGCTGATAAGGCATCGCGTCCTAGAAGTTTTTCCTCGACGCGAAACAAACGACTATTGGGTTTCAGTTGCCTTAATTTCTCTTCGGCGCATTTATTTAAATCCGGATAGAAGCCTTCCTCACCCGATTGCAATATTAGTAATATTTTTTCCATTTCGCGGCCACTTTCGCATTGTTTAATGTAGGCAAAATCCAAATGACTTATGGGAATTTGATAACGTTCTAACAAAGATTTCTTTTTTTCCATTTTTACAATATATATTTTTTTAAAATCGAAAATTACAATTGTTGCTGTTATTTCAAAAATAAATTTTTCATATCAATTGAGTTTAATTATTTCCCAAGGAAACCCTAGCAACACACAAGTTGCTAAGGACGTGAATAAAATGCAAGGCATATAGTAATTGTAAAAAGAAAAACTTCATAGCGTTCGCTTTAATAGACCGTTTTAGAGGAGCGATAAGAACTCTATGAGGGTGTGAAAGTTAACAGTTTGTAGATACGTGGGCTAACAATCAAAAGCAGTTGCTCTGGGAAAATAGGAGAGAAGCTTGCAAAAAAATTCGCGAGGGCCTTAACGCTTCTTACGCCCAAGGGTTTGCGAAAATGTCTTAAGATTTATGGACTCTCTCTCTCTCTCTCTCTCTCTCTCTCTCTCTCTCTCTCTCTCTCTCTCTCTGATGAAGTCAACGGAATATCCCAAAGAATTGAGCAAAAACAGCCTCGAATAATGAGAACATAAAATTTGGTCAAGGAACTGTACTCAATCGTTTGAATAAGTTTGGTGAGATGTCTGAAAAGAAGTCCGATATTTGGATAGCACATTTGCAGCGACTACGAAAGCAACGTAAATAAATGTGGCAGGTAAAAAAATGTTAAGTCTACTAATTTTTATGATTGTTAAATTAAATCTTTTACGAAAAATTTCAAGTGTAATCTGTTAGGTTGAATTAAACACGTTAGCAATATATTTACGTCCGCCACAAACAAAACAAAAATGTGCTGTATTTTTTATTGCTTTGGAAATGCATATTAAAGATTTCATATATTATGGATTTACTCTTATCGATCTTCGCGTCTGCCCTCTACTTGTTCTTTGCAAAAGCTCTGAGATAAGCTCTGAGCTTTCAGTTCAACACATTGTAAACCATTTATTATTAATTTTAAAATTAACGTGTGATTTATTAATTTTTTTGTTTTATAAATGATAAATTAATATACTATACTGCATCTGCTGCAACAAGTGACATTTTTTTTGTTAGGCACATCAAAATTAAGCGGTTCTATGGTGTAATGGTTAGCACTCTGGACTTTGAATCCAGCGATCCGAGTTCAAATCTCGGTAGAACCTTGACATTTGGATGGCCGCCTATGGGTCAGTCATTTTTTTTTTCTTTCCTACTCACATGAAAAATCAGTGCTATGCCCCGTTTATCTTTAAATCACTCCACGTTATTAACATGCCGTCTGCCAATTAGTTAAAAAACCGAATAAATAAGATTGTATAAGATAAGGACAGGACATCGCTTATACAAAATTTTTTGTATTTATATAACGTTCATTTTCGTTGATTAAATAATTTGCCTCACTGAGCTTATTTTTAAACTCAAGAAATCTCCCGCCATATTTTTGAAATCAAATGCCAAGAATACCTAATTTTTCTTTCAACTAGACGACTAGCTTTGCACGCAATGACCGCATCCATCAATATTCTCTTATTTATCCTAATCTTAAGCTAATCTTTATTACCAAGCATTTTAGGTTATGATTTTATGAGTATTCTTACAAATGGCAGAGTCTTCTTCTTCTTTTCCAACTGAGGAAATCAACAGGAAAAGATTTAGCTGAAGTAGAAATCGACAAATTTCCTTTTTTACTGAAAACAAAGAAAACGGAAATAGAAAAAAAAACATCGATAACCAACAAACACACGGTCAACCAATGCACATTGGTAGCGGTAGGCTTTGGTGAGGACTTGCTTACCCCTGCATTTTCCTTATTGTCTTTTTTTTTAATAACAAAGATTTTTTTGTTTTTTGTGTTTATTGTTGCCGGTTGCAACGCCACAGGCTTTTATGCGAGTAAAGTTGCAAAGAAGCATATTGTTTTCTCAGTCCTAACATCAGAATATACTCCATATACTCACATATTTCTAATTACTAACTAGGGATTATATTAACAAAAGTGTAGATCTTATGCATTTTCTTTCTTTTTCTTTAATACTCGAGGGGAGTTAAAAAGAAGCTGTAAACAGCAAATTAATGAATGACATTTTTTTTTTTTTGGTTCGCACGCTACGACATGCAAATAATGTAGTTTTATAATTAAGGTCAAGAAAGAGAGAATTACTTTTGGTGGAGAGAGGGGAAGACAGAGATACGGGGCGGAGAGATGTGGAAAAAATTATTTTGCTCGTATCTTAATAAAGAAAGAAAATACCTAAAATCCCTAAACATCGTTAACGACAACTGTTGTTAAAATTATGCCCAACATGTATACATTTCTCGAGAAATGACGCAATAAGGAAAGTAGAAAGAAAAATGTATTTCACAGAGTTCTTAAACAAAAATAATTAAAAACATTTCTAATCAACGAGAGAGATATAAAAAGAGTTACTCTGGCGAACCCATACATGAGTGCCAAGAATAAACAGAAACAAAGATACATAGACATGACCTATTAACTTCTTCAAATAATAGATACATCATCATCTTTTCAGGCGAATCTTTCTGTAGTTCGAGTAATCTATATGTATAGGTCTTAATTAATCTAAATAAATACGAACCTATAGAAAGATAATTTGTTTAATATAATTAAAAATTAAGGTGCATGACTTGCTAAAACTGTAAGCCGCTCTCCCTTCCTCCAAATTGACCGGTTTAGAGAGATTGAGAATGTTGCACTATGTTCGAAGTGGAAATTCGATATGGATCACGTTTATAAAACTCTTGAAGTGTCAAGAATAAAATGTTTCAAGAGACTTAAGGTAAAATTGTCCAACTAAAGCGGAAGTTAGTGACGTGCGGGATGTTGAGATTAATTTGGCGTTGCGATCGAAAACAATGTTGCTAAATTCCGTAAACCAAACAGAAAAAAGTGCCCGGAAAAGGGGTGGAAGTGCACTTTCTTCCAATGATTGCACGGCTTCCTCTGGCCTGTGACATTCAAGTCAACTCTACGTTATCGCACATATACAAGTGCTTGTCAAAATAATGCACTTAGTTTTCTTAAAACAAATCTAACCGAGAATTTTCGTAACAGTAGTGAGAGGTTGAGATGCGAGCAATTGTCAAATTTCGTTCAAGTGAAAATGAATTCTATCAACTTTTAAATTTGATTTAAAACGACAAAGGACTCTAAGTAATCGTTGTAGCACTCGTCAGTTGGATTTCGATAAAAAAAATTGCTTTTTATATTTTCCTATATTCTCAGACTTGTTTATTCTTTACATTGAATTCAATACGTATGAGTAATTATGCTTTGATCGCTGCTCACTTGAGCACAATCGTGAAGAAGTCTTTTCTGGGATAATTCAATTCATGGTCGTCACTTATGGTCTTCATCTCCACAAATGAATATAATGAATATAAAACCTTGGTTTAGCTTGAACTATCAATTAATTGATTTAAAGTATAGTTTAAAGCATAAGTTAAAGTTAATTTTAATTGAAAGATGTTAAAAATTAAATAACGTTAAGCGCTATGTGGAAAGTGAGACTCATCAAATAATCCGATCGCTTTAATCATAGTCAAGTGGCGAACATCATTACATCTGATTCGCTGAGTCGCAGAAGAAGAAGAAGAAGATTTGAATTGAATTGAATTTTTTCAAATGAAACAAATTTCTCAAAATACAAAGGCAACAATAATGTAAAGAAGAATTTTTAATTTTCCTTTTTTACAGATTCCAGCCAATTTTTGCTTGTTAATTTGCTGAATAATAGAAGAAAAAAAGAAAAAAAAAATTGTTCCATAACAGAAGTTGTTTCATGACATTTTGCATTCGCACAATTACTTCTTTGCTTTTTTGAAATCATCATCAAGATGAGCCATATTATAAACCTACTCTTTTTCACAATTTTTTTTTCCCTCACATTTATCAATTCCATCATATGACACCTCATACTCATGTACCACATTACTTCTTACCCCCGCTGTTGTATCGTTCGTGGCGTACGTTTGCATGTTTTAATAAAATTTAAAAAAAATAACTTGACGGACACATAGCACGCAAAATTAAAAATATCTTAATGAAATAAACACTAAAATAAATGAATAACCAAATCTAACCCCAATTTTGCTAAGATCCAAACAAAAAACTCTGTATTCCACATTAACCTTTTTTTACACATCTCAGTCAATTTTCGTATGTTCATTTGATGAATAACAGAAGAAGAAGAAGATGAGATATGTCCCTATGTAACGAAAAACTGTCAAAAAGATTATTATTGAATGTATTTTTACATTTAAAAATAAAATGAAAATTATGCAAATCATATAATTAGGAAATTTCTCCGAACGGCTCCAAACTTATCTGAAAATTTCTGAATTTTTCCACCATTTTTTTGTTGGATGCACAATTAATTTTGAATAACATGGACAACTGCAACCAAATAGAAGTGAAGAAAGATGCCGCAATCTTTGTATATAGAAGAGGAAAATATTTAAAGGAAAACATAAAAGTAAATGCGGTAAACAAAAATGATGGGTGATAAAGGGCGATTGCAGGGAGAGGAGCTTCAGAGGTATGTATTCGCAAGCGACCCTCCATATCCCGGAATCAATAGGATAACGTACACAGAGATCGGATGAGAACGCAATATGACGTGCGTAGTGTAACATATTCCATTGCTTTTGCTTTTTTTTTATGTTTACACTAGCTTTGTCGAGCAGAATGCACTACTTCGTTTTGCTTTTTCGCCTGAAACGCAAAGAAACTTTTCGCGAAACTATTAGTTTCCAAATAAGATTGAATTCCTGAATTTTCGATATTAGTCACATTGCTTAAATTTATGTATACAATTTTGTTATTGCGTCACCTTTTATTTTTCGCTTCTAACGAACCAATTCCTGCTAATTTTCTTTTTTCGAAATTTAGAGTCTTGCTGGTCTATGTGCAAAAAGTTTTAAATATAAAAATTAATAGTAATAAAAATCCACTATTGCTTCCTTTCACAATTTATAATCTAAAAGCCATTAATGTAATATGAAATATTTGGCAAGCACTTACCCTACTTTATGTAAATATTCTTGAGTGAAAGCACCTCTAATGCACCAAGTGAGAAATTCATATTCTCCTATGTGCGTTTTAGTTTGTGTAATTTTTTTTTATTCACATAAATTTTATTAGTTAACAATTAATTCTTAACTAAAAGTTAATATATTAATTCTAATTATGTAGTTCACAGTTTCTCTACTGTTCTAGTTTTAAAATTAAAATTCTTTTCGCTCACAAAAAAATGCACACACTTAACAAAAAAAAAAAAGAAGAAAAATGAAAAATGAAGACAGTGTTAATTATATGAAATAAAATTATTTAAAATGGACTTTTGTTTATTAATAGATATTCCAGTTGGTACTGGTGTTGTATATGGACTTGGGTGTGACACTTTAGACTATAAATTCTTTACTTTCTCCACTCATTTAGCTCGTTTTAATGTCACTACACTCATCACTGGAGGATGAAGACATGCTAATTTTAGCATTTCCATTTTTTTCTTTTTAGCTCCCAACTATACGCATATAGAGAAAATAGTTTCAGTTTTCGGAAAAAGTTCCAAGTATTATCTCATTCTTTGTAGGTTTCTCCTTTTTCCATTCCATAGTCGGTTTGTTTGTTTTGCTTCTTTGTCCTTCGTGTCTTGGAAGAATAGATAAACATCCATAATGGCTTCAGAGATTAAACTATAAATTTTACGGTCTTTTTGTGAACTATAATTCATATTTGCAAGCAACATGATGCAAATCATAGGCCGTAATCCCCAAAGGTCTTTTCTTATTTTCTATAAACTCACTTTTAAAGAATTTTCAATAATCTTCTGGCCTACATGTTCATTTGAGGTCATTTTTTCGACTTTTGCCGATTTGCATTGAATGATGGATGTTGAGCATTCGCCATGCGGCAAACAAATTACTGTTGCTCATTACTTTTTGAATTTTAATTATAATAAAGTTTAAGGACACTCATTTTCGGTGTAAGGCTGTCTTTAAATTGTTTTTACCGTGCCTAAGATGATCGATTGTGTATGAAAAGTTATTAAAATTTTGATGATGAAAGGTGTACGTACGACTTTTAAATAATAATTATTTACATAAAAAGCCTTAAAAATTTATATTAAGCTTAAGTTTTTTTATGAGCTTACACATTACATTATAGTTTATCTTTAATTAAGGTGTTTTCGACATTTGTTTTTTTTTTTACTCGCTATAATAAAATTTATTACCTGTTTCTTGGTATTTCATTGTAAGGGGCAGTTAGTTTTTCATATGTATTAAGTTAACTAGATTATTTGATTTTTCTTTTTGTTTTGTGATTTTCATTTTGGGTTTTGTGTATTGCATTGATTTAACACAAGATTACGAGAAAATTTTTTTTGCTCAAATACTATATTGCTTGTTTCTTAAATTTTTTAAAATAATGTTTGTGAACGAAGGAATGAACGGCTTTGATTCAACCTCTCATTTCGAAATATTGATTGGTTCTTAGTATTACTTTTTTTTTCTCATTTGATATAGGAACGAACACAGCTTAAATCATAATAAAACTGATATTAAACGTTTTAAAATCATATAAAAATGTTAAACAATAAATTATGATTTAATTTGAAAACTTTACACGAGTAGCTTAAAAAGCCCGAATACTTTCAAAAAAAATAAAAAATAATAAAAATGAAAATTTATGAAAAAACTAAAATTATATCACTTAATGCTTGCTTGCAAACACTTAATTCTGTGCAAAAATTTTTCGTTTTAAAAATTATTCACTAAAATGGAGATAGATTTTGTTTATACTTTCTTTTTTCATTTAGAATCGTTGGTATTAGTTTAAAAAATATTGATTTGGAATTCACTAACAATGGCTTCTAGAAAACCTTTCAGACTGTAATATGACCGATTGCGCCAATAAATATTGTTCTTCACTTGTTCTACTGCCAGTTGAATGGCAGTAGTTACAGATTTTAAGCCTAATTTCTGGGCCCTTTCCTTGAAACGTTCCAATTGTTCCTTGTGATAATCCTTATTCATATAAGTAGTAACCGATTTGATCATTGAAGTTAACGTTGAGAAACCATCACCGTAACTAAAAAATAATTTATTTTTTAAAAATATTTAATTCTTTTTTTCTTGTTAACAAATATATTCGACTTACTATTCAGCGATTTCTTTGATGTTTGTTTGCAGGAAATCGAAAGCAATTTCAAAGCCTATCGGATTTTCGGCAACAGCCCTGTAAAGTCCGGTAAATAAAAAGAATACAATATGTATATATATATATATATGTATATGTATATACCTAAATGCCTGTGTTCCATCTTGCTTCAATATGCCTGAAGTCGAACTGAGAGTCATATTTAAATATCTACAATAAAATAAAATACATTTACGTTAAGATAATTATTTAGTAACAGTTAGATAAGGGGTTCTATGGTGTAATGGTTAGCACTCTGGACTTTGAATCCAGCGATCCGAGTTCAAATCTCGGTAGAACCTTCGTATAACGGCATTCTAGAGAAATATTTTTTAATACATGCTATATGTATTTTGAAGAACGAACTCAAACTTTTAGATTACAAGAAGTTCTCGAAACGTATTTAGGTTTAAGCTAGATAAATCCTCAGCTGGTATCTAGCCAAGGCTCATCTAATAATTCTGATTGTCGCTCAGAGATAAATTACTGCTACAAAAGAGATTTCTAAATGTCCTGTTGCACATTCGCTGGGTCGAGGAAAATAACGTGAGCTTAAGAAAAAAAAATTTTTTAAACGTTTTCAAGATTGTAAAAATAACCATTTTCAAATAATAACAACGTAACATAGTAACATATAATATTTCGCTAATAATAAGACAAATATTGAGAAAGCTGGAGATACCGGGTTCTATGGTGTAATGGTTAGCACTCTGGACTTTGAATCCAGCGATCCGAGTTCAAATCTCGGTAGAACCTTCCTGCGAGCTATGCTTTCTGTTTCATGTTTTGAACAATTTTTATACTTCTACAAGAAGAAATTATGTTTAGTGACTGGCTGGTGGAGAAAGATTTCTAGAAAAAATATTCCTCCATAATAATAATCTAAGATATGAAAAATTATTGACGTGAAAAAAGATCTCAAAACACACAAATTTGTGGTGTTTTGTGTGTGTTATAAGAAAGCATAGGGAAATTGCATTTTCTTCTTGTTATTATCATTGACATTATTTTATTAAATATCAAGAAAAGAAATCAAATCTTTCCTAAAAACCTAAAAGACAGACACAAAATAAAATAAGTATGAATAATAAAATTTTTGTCATTGGAAAGATTGAATGTGTGTTTTGCACTCACTTAGATAATAACCACGGTTTTGTAGTACAACCCAAAGATGATAAAATTTGTTCTTTCTCGGAAGCGCTTGTTGTTCGTTTATATTGCTTGTACGCGAAATACCATTCCTGGAAGGATCCTTCGGCTAAGGCGGTACAGTAAATGGTGGGTTTCATGTTGGGAGTAATGCTAAAAATATATTTAGTACATATTTATATGGATCTACAAGAAACTATACATATTAAAATAAAAAAACATAAGAACTAAAAAAAAGTAACTCGCGCCCAACGTGGGGCTCGAACCCACGACCCTGAGATTAAGAGTCTCATGCTCTACCGACTGAGCTAGCCGGGCTGTTAAAGGGCACGAGTTAAAGATTGTATAAATATAAATATAGAACGGCATATAACTATTTAAATATAAAAAAAATTTATCTAATGGTATTAATTTCAAAGAATTTAATAATTACTCAGACAATATGTTATGTAAAATGGAAAACTACTCTTTCGTTGATAATGGTGAAAAGGATTGTTTGAAAAATTGACATGAAGTTTTACACATGTATGCAGTCACTAAATGTGTATAAAGGTATGCAACGATTATAAAGATATGGCTAAGCTGATGAAAAAACTTGTAAAATTTCTATTAGTTAACCTGTTCAATTTCTATTAATCACCAATGAACCTTTAACCCCATCTTTGGACATTTCTTCACTTCACTTGTAATAATCTTAAAATAAAGCATTTAGGGTTGAGGAAAATATATTCATTTACACTCTTGAAAGAAAGGCCTAGGCTTCGTTCGTTGGTGAATCGCAGCTGGCGCATAGAGTACTCTCGTGAGTTTTTTGATGGGGTGAGGTGATATAGAGTGGCGAATTATGAATTCTTCCATGACGTAGGGGAGAAGAAAGTGAATAGAGTCTGACTTCACAAAATATATATATATATATAAAAGGAAATAGGACCTTTCGGGCAATCTACAGAACAAGAATATACCTAACTTATCTAAATGAGATCGTTACATTGCAGTTTAGCGGAATCATTCTCAGGCGGCAAAAGGTAAGAAAAAAGTTACCAAAACCTTGTGCATAATGCTCACCCGGCCTCTTAGCCTGTTAATAAATGCTAGGCAGTCGCGCCGTAGGGCTAAGGAATTCCTAGTTCGTCCCTTAACTAGCCGGGCTGCTAGTCGATCGAATTTAGAATCCTTATTTGAAAAACTTACTGCAAAAGCTTATACACCTAACATCAAGATAAATAAAATCAATCCTCTGCGCGAAAAATTTTGGAAAAGTCTTCATTTGAGTATTGGTATGCTAATAGTAAGAATTTTAAATTTCTCCATAAAAGAAACGCGTCTAAGAGATACTCACAAGTTTGCCTTGGGATTAGCCATCCATTCTCGGTATTTGTTGTGAGCTGCATTAAAGCAACGATCGTACTTGAATTTACATGCCAGACGTGAAACTAATGCGCGATGTTGTAGCTGAATATGGGATTCATTGTCTGGCTCCTGTAGACCGTAACGGTCGAAAGCAGGTCTAACAATGAATTTCATAAAAGCCTGTAATTAACGTTACAGATTAGTAACATAAAAAGGGACCTTTTGATTTAATTGTTATTTACCCTAAATGTTTCATACGCCGGTTCCCGACTTAGCATGAAAATCAAATACTCCAAACCTTTTTGTGCTGCAGACCACAGTAGCTCATCATCGGTCGATGTAAATAACTCTAAAAGAAATGTCAATGGAATATCATAAGTAAGATATTCTGCTTGCGCCAAATGTAAGGCATCATCCATAAGCTGAGCTCTAGTGACACGTGGCAGAGAGGTAAACTTCTTTTTTAGCGCCAGCCAAGAAGGCATATCGTAATTAACGCGGTAATAAGATCGACGGTCTAAATTCAAATATACAACGTTTTCCGAATTGTTGTCTGAAGTGAAAATATCATTAATAACTAATTCGTGGCCATTATCCATTAGCCAGTGAGTAGGTATGTTGTCGCCTTTGTGTAATTCATCCGTTTCATAAGTTATTGGTACAATCCACTTGCTTGAATCTGAGATATTTCTCGAAGGTAGCATAAAACGTTCCTGTGTCACAATTAGATCAGCATCCCTTCTCTCCACTGTAATGACAGGATAACCGGGTTTTGAGATCCATGTATCCATAATCGTTTTAACAGTCATATCATCAGGCAAAGTTTTTTCCAAATGACCATGTTTTGTCATAAATTCCCATAAGTCATTACGATCTGCATTTGCGTACGCTAATGAGCTCAAAAAGTCTTGTGTAGCATTTCGAAAAGCATCATAACCTACTATTGAACTTAGCATGCGTACGAGAATGGTACCTTTTGAATAAGTTATTGGGTCAAATATTCTGCGTATATCGTTAGTAGATTTCACCTCAAACGCTATAGCGTGCGAGCTGTTATCTGAATCGTGTTGCATCGAATATTTAAATTCAAAAATTGCCAAATTATCTAATATTTCATATTCGGGATGGACAAAGTTTAAGGCCATATAGCTCATATAACAGGCGAAACCTTCCTTAAGCCATAAATCATCCCACCATTTCGGTGTCACTAAATTACCAAACCATTGATGGGCCAATTCGTGGGCAATTATTTTAGCAACATATTCCATATGTTCAGATGAAGAAGCTTTTTCCAAATCATCCGGTACTAGCAAGGCAGCATCTCTGTGGTTATTAAAAGATTATGTAAAAATGTCGTATATGTCTAATTACTTTCAACATACCTGAATGTTATGAGACCCCAATTTTCCATGGCACCAAAACCGAAATCTGGTATTGATACTAAATCAATTTTTGGCAAACGATTTTCAATGCCAAAATAGCCTTCGAAATAATCCAAATATTTGCGCACCAAGTAGTAGGCATATTTTGTCATATCCTTATTTTCAGGTCTAGTCCAAATTTCAACACGAGGTATGGCAGAAGTATCACGATCCGAATAATGAGATTTAACCAAATTCGAAACGATAAATGCAACAAGATATGTAGGCATTTTTGGTGTAGTCATAAAGTCATCTTTGGTAAAGCCAGGGCGATGAATACTGAAAGAGAAGGACATTATATGGTAGTCAATCGATTCGAATCATTTTTCAGGGAGGAGAGAACCCTACAGATAAATATATCTAATCTTTTCCGTAATCTTTCCGACGTAGAATTTCTCACTTAGATTGGACTTTTTAGTAAATCTCGTCTTGAATTCGTTCCCGAACAGAAACATTCTGATCAAAGACTTGAAGACCTATTGAAAAAGTCCATTTAAGAAAATTGGCCATAACGAAGGAAAAGAAAAGAATAAGAATAAGGGGATAACAAGAGGATTGTTGGAATTGTTCAAGTCTATTTTCAATAAAGAGAACTTTTGGTAGAAAGTGAGACATTAGAAAAACTGTGAACAGACTTTGACATCGAAATCGATTAGTACTAGTTTCTCTTTTGCTGCCTACTGCCTAGCTGTTAACATCTCTGAATTTTGGACGCAAAGCAATTAGGAAACTTACGAACTGTGATAGACTGGCATATTGGATAGAGCCATTGATGTTCGCGTTGATCTTATAATACTAATAGTAAAATTGGCTTTCATATCAGGTCGGTCGAAGCAAGGGAAGGCTCGACGAGCGTCAATCGGCGAAAACTGAGTGCTAATCATCCATCTGTAAAGAAACGGAATGAAAACGCATAATGTTATTCAAAACAGATCATTCATTTAAACTTACTCTTCTCTGCCAGTCTGTACATTGGCGTAACTTGTCTTATAAACTCCCTGTAGCGTATCAGTAATTTGACTAATAAAATCCATACTTAATATCAAAGTGAGATTTTTCTCTTTAGCCAATTCCTTATTTAGTACTACGACAAAGGTTTGATTATTTAAACCATAATCACTATCGAACTCCAGTTCGGCTTCTTCTTCATCCGGATTATTCTTTGATCTTATCACTCGAACATTCGATATGGAAATATTGTTTACATCCAAGACAATCGGTTCGAAAGTCGTAATATTTGCATTACGTTGTATACGAATCGCTAAGCTGCCATTGTTTGTCGATGTCCGCAGTGTTGGCTCAATTACAAGCCTAGAATAGAGTTTTGAGAAATAAACAAAATATTATAATATAAACATTATCATAAAATCTCTTTCAGTGATAATTAGCAAATTTCCTGCACAAATAAACACACGTTAAGTGTAAACAACAGTGCAAATGCAAAGTTTTCTTAACGTATTTTTCTTATTTCTTCTCCACATTTTAGAAAAATGCAAAATGTTTGCTTACATCTCCTTGTCTTGCTTACTAAAAAAAAAAAAAAAAAAAAAAACACACACACACATAAATAAACACAAATTTGTTCTCGTGCCTCTATGAACGTAGCAAAAAACTTTAAAGCAACAACAAAAATGCAGTAAATTCATTGTGTAAAATTCATTTCACAATTGTGCATGAAATAAAACGTATGGAGAGAATAGAAACAAATTAATAATAATAAAACGTTTATGGGCAAAGAATTTTTTCAACTAAAAAAATTTGCTTATAAGCAAAAAGGAAAGTTGGAAACTTGGTTTGTAAAAAAGAAGAAGAGAAAAAATCTGATCTTAACAAGAAGCAGATGATATATATACCTCTGAAAGACAAAAGTCGCCAACGAGGTGTTAAGACATCAGTTAAGAAATCGACAATTACTGGCTTACAATAATTAATTACTTACTGCTTGCGCTCGATTTAAGCGCCATATGATAACATTAATTTCAATACTAGTATGTTTTGCATAAATTCTTAATAAATGTCACACATAACTAAATAAAATTTTAAAATTTTTTCAAGTTAAAATCTAACCAGTTTGAACTTGATTAAGCGCAGCCTTTCGTTCAGCGCACAGTAGTGGGAAAAATAAGCAAGTCCTCTAGTGACTACGCATCAAACCGAATCGCATAGCCATACGCTAAGGTACTTCCCACAGGGATATCCTAAAGTCGCAAGGCTTTTTTTGATGGTGGTTTGCGTCACTTAATTACCTTTTTTTTATCACCAAATTGCTTTGCGAGTGTTTTATGCTCGATATAATATTGATCCAAAATCCTATCCGTGCTCATAACGCCAACTTATACCCCCTAGCTTATTCGGCGAGTTAATTAATCTCCTGGGTGGCCTGTTTCAAACGGCTCTAGTGGGTATATCCAACCAATTCTAGACATTTTCTACTATTTCGTCGTTTGGTATAGAATTTATTAAAATTTACTGAACTAATTTCGTCCACGGCATGCCTTGTTACGTTGCACCCTTAATTCCCATAACGGCATTTTTTTCCCATGACTAGTCATGCGGGGCTTGTCTCCTATATGTGTGACGCGGTATCGATTAAAAAGGAAGAGATAGGGAATGGTCGCAGCTTAATGGCTGTTTACCGACTCGGTAAGTGCCTTTACCGACCATTGAGTTCATTTCAAAGAATGGATGAGAATTTTCAATACATAATCATCAAGCATTTGTTGACATGTTTACCATACGAATTTAATTTATCGTAAGAATTTCTGGTTTGATTTATTCAAGACACTCTAAAACTATATGTTTCCTGAAGCTATTCTATAAACTAAAAGTGGCTGCACCCAGGACTGTGAAAATCATTTCAATCGTAATCGTTAATTGAGTCATTGGCTAGGGTGTAACCTTCGGACGATGAAAACGATGGAAATTGGGATGCTTTGTGAACGGAAGACAATAGATTTTGAATTTATTTTTCCGAAGAGCGTTTTTCGCCATTTTGCAGCAGATGCTAATGAGAAGCAAAACGGGAAGGAAATCACCAAAAAAGAAAAGAAAAATTTAATGTAAACCGGGAAGGGTAGAGCGACCACTTTGTAGGAAACGCTCTACATATAGTGAAATCAGCCAAGCGTATTGCAAGCATCTGAAATCTATTAACAAAATCAGCAGGAAAATACATAAGCAAGCAGTAGTGTTGCGATTAAACCAGGAATGAAAGCAAAAAACACAATAAAACAAATGTGACATGTTGAGCACATGCTGTTCATCATGTTCGACAATGCACGCGGGAAATTCTGTCGCATTTTTTAGTGCAGACTCGATAGGATAGCTCGTTTCCTACATCCCAAAAGACAGCTAATGGATCGGATCATTGGGTGAATAATGTATAGTTTAGTATTACTGTGACGAAGAAGGAAGAACGTTAGCATCCCTCATTCAATAATTTTGAGAAGAACATAACAAAATATTTGACAAAACTGTGGCTTAGCAAGGTTTTTTTCGCATTACTATAAAGAAAAACGTAAGCAAAGTAATAAGCAAATAAAATAAATTTGTGTTAGCATTTTTTTAATTTCAATTTTTTTAATTTTTTTTTCTTTCGACTCTCTAGCGCTGGCTACTGCGGTGATTAGTGTAAATGAATACTTGTTGCAATTTCTTGTTCAAATATCAAACAGTTACTGATTGGAACGACAAATGCACACATCTGTGAATATATGTAAATAAATTCTTTGTAAACTGCTTTCAATTAATCTTTCAATATAAACTGACATTGATTTCATTTATTTATAAAATAAAATTTAACCATATGTTAACATTAGATTTTAATTTATATATATGATTTGATTTTATATTTATTTGATAACAATTTATTGTTGTATTACGAATTTTTTTTTTTTTGCAAAGCTTTTACAAAAAGTTTTATAATAGCCCATAAAGATGGTGGACAGACGTACGGTCATATTTTGTGCATTAGCGTAAAATTGTAAAACGAGCCGAAGTTGAAGGTTTCTATCCGATCCGCCCGCTTCAAAGGGCTGTGACCAATTTCCATGCCAGCTTTTTTGCAAATAAGCATATTTCTCGTGCCAAAATTGGCCAATCGAAAGCCCTACAATAAAAACAACCAGGTCCAAAATATATTTTTCTTTGATTAAACAGCGCATATCAAGAACGTTATTGGTCAATATATTTGTTCAACGGGGTCAAGCTATTTGAGTTGTTAGTAACAGCTTTCTTGCGAAGCTTTCTGGTGGCCTTCGGAAAGAGTGCGAAAATTTTTGATAAAAAGACTAAAGGACACGGACGACGACGATTAGGTACGAGCCGAACTTAGTTAAAGCCCCTGAAGATCTTGTGGTTCATACACTTTACTGCAAATGTGTACAATATTTCCGCTCAATAATATAATCCTGTGTTTTACACGATTTTTCCCGGTCACTAGGACCATATTAAGCTTCTTGTTTGCTATGGTCGGATGCGCATCAAGCTATTCAGCTATTCGTGGGCTTAACTTATCTTGACAAAAGTGAAGGATTATTGAGATATTGGGATTATTGAGAGTAATTGAACCACGACCCTGAATGGTGCTGCCAGGGATGTCGTGTTTATTTTTAGTTCGAACATAGTATGAGAAGCCAAACTCTTGCTTATTGCTTATGATCACGAGTCTTACTACAAAGCTTTAAAGAACGAGGTATCGACATAAACGAAATTGAGTGCACCATGCTATTCACATACAAGTTCATAGCTCATTTGTGAGATCACTTCATAAATGGCTTTTTGCGCAGTACGAAATATATAAAAAATGGGGCGTGCCAAGCCAAGCTAATAAAAAAAAAATTGCTTTAAAATTTAAATTCTGTATTGATTTTGAAACGCTCTAACCTAAGAAAAAACAAAATACAAATTTAAAAACATTAACTGACCAGTTTCATACGAGCACTTTTCTAGTTTTTCGGATTCTAATTAAGAACCGAAGGAACAAAAAATTTCCGTTTCTTGCGATAAATTATAAAATAAATGACTTTTCATAGATCATCCATATACGCGACACATATATTACGAAACATGATATGCAGTCATTTGATGCGATTTAACTTCAACAAGATAACATAATATAAAAAAAAAGAAAAAAAGGAAAAAGAAAAAGAAAGAAAACACCCAGAGAAACAGATTAACGCTTAAAACTGGATAAGCAACAGCAACACTTTGTAAAGTTGACACGTGAACAATTGAAGAAAATTAAACTAAGAAGAATTGCAAGATCGCAACTACTAACCTACGAGTGCGAGTACTGTTGGCAACATGCCACGATATCTGTGCTTCGCCATATATTACAACGCAGCCAGCAATAAATTCAATTGCTTTTATTTTTTGTTGTTGCGTTTGCCGTAGCCTTTTTTTCCTCTGCAGTAACTTAAGCGCAGGGCGCTATAAACTTGTTCTTGTAAATGTTTTTGTTGGATCATGTTTGTCTTTGTGCTTGTTCACTTTATCACATGTACGAAACGGTTTGCTTCGCTTCGCTTTGAAATACCATAAAATGTTGCTGCTGAAGACATAACAGCCACTTCTCGGCTCGTACGCATGCTTGTTGTGACAGCTTGCGTGCTGCATGGTAGCAAGTTATGTAATTGAAAAATTTGTAGTATGTAGCCTTGCGAACGAATAGTCATTTAATAACTGACCATTGGCTGCTTTAGGCGATATACCAGTAACAAGCCAATGGAAACGCAAAATCCGAATGCAAGTGCGTTTGTCCTCCAAATGAATGATCAACTGATGGATAGTGTCGTGAAATGAAAATGAAATAGGACCATGTTGGTAGAGTGTGCCCTGCTTTCGTTCTTTCTGCTTTTAAGATTGTGCCATGACTTATTCCACCTGTTAAAGTGCATCATTTAACAACACAAAGTGTAAGACGAGTATATGTCGCAAAAATTTAATATCAAAGTGCATAACACACATGAATTGAATCATTCTTCATTCAGATCCTTTGGGTAATTAGCTATGCCTGTACAACATATGAGTATATTTTCACCCGTTGATGAGCGTAAAGCTCTATCTAATAGGGTTTTATAAAACAGGTAGCTATGGGTTGTTATTTAATTCGCTTTGGGACATTGAACTAATCGTTTCGCGATTTGGGTAGAGACTACAATCTCGGGGTAACTTCTCGCTCCGCAGTCTACAACGGAGGAAATGGGAAGTGTTTCAGGTGCTATTGATGCCCGTCGTATGGAAAGAAGTCTCTAGTTCGATTGCCTTCGACTAATGGGTATAAAAGACAAGACGACCCTTGGTTGCAAGAGACAAGAATCGCCGTTAAAATAACGTGGTAATGGCGATCATGACATTTCAAATTTCTTATTAAAGTTTACAGTCCTGCCACACTTATGTTCGCTTCTTAACCAATCATTAAACGTTCCATAAATAGTTGTTCAATTCATGATATTTCTAAACCAGGAAGACATGGAAACGTGTGATGTAAACGAAATATTGCAAAATGATTGCAGATATATCAAGTAGGCACGTGTTCTCTTCGCCGCGATCAGTTAATGTGAAGGCTTAAATGCGAATGTTTATAAGATCACGCTAACACGAGAACTGAATCGAAACGAAAATTAAAGCACAACGTAATCTCTGGGCATCAATTCTAAACTATGTCATATCATAAATAAAGTATATCAGAGGAAAAGCGTTCAAGATGTAGCAACTAAGAGATTCTGTTTCTTCTCAGCAAGTTTATCCGAAGCCTTCGATCTATATGTTTGTAAGACGACGCTAATATAAGAAACGATCATTAAAACACAACGTAACCTCAGGACATCAACTCTAAGCTATGCCACACTAGATAAAGCTAGCTAAACATCACAGCAAAAGCATTCTAAATCTATCAACTAAGAGATATTCTTTTTTCTCGGCAAATTTATGCAAAGTCTTGAAACGGCAAATGTATTCTTAGTTTGGGGGATAATTTTTGAATCATTGGTTTCGTTAAGAAGCAAGATTTTGCTTTTATATTTGTCTTCCACCAAATGGGATCTTCGGTCAGACGTTGCTTTCGTTAGCCAATGTTTAATTCATGGCGGTGACCATGTGCATGTTATATATTTCTTAATGCGAATATAGCTCCTTAAGACTCCTATAGTTTCCTTCAGACAACAAATTACAGGATAAGCAATAGCGAAAAAATCGTTTTACTGAAAAAGAAGTTTTGTGTGGATGGTCGATGAGGAGGTCGCCGTTTTTCCCCTACACCTTAAATTGATGTTTTGTATATTTTTTATAGGGTTTTGGAAAACAAATAACACAACATTAACATAAATTTTATTTGTAATGTAATGATAATATTTTCCAAGATTTATTATGGACGTATTATTGTCAGAAACAGCAACACAAGGTTAAGATAAAACAAATTTTCTTTTCTGTTTTCTTATTTTGCCATAAAATATCCTCATCCCAATGCAAATAAACAACTAAACTCTCGCAATAATAATAATTTAAATTCGTTTCTTGTCGAAACGAACTAATCGTATGTATGTATGAGCAGACCAGGAAATGCCATCCAAAGTATTCTGTTGAAATCTTTAACTAAGTCATTGCAGATAGTTTACAGAGATACGCGTAGACCGCGGTGAATGTCAGCAAAGCAGCGGCATGATCATAGACATAACTCATCATCTGCAAGTATTTCGCATGATCAGCATCGGAACGATGCAAACATGAATTCGTTGCAATTTCCATGGCTTTCGCACAGGGAGAGAAGAACGTGCGCGTAAGCAACAATTCTCTGTTCTTGGCAATAAAGTGATCCTCAAATGGCTATTAACTTGCGTTTGCTTATCTGTCAATACCATTAAGCACACGCATGCATAGTTTGTCTCGTTTTATTATAATTGTCTGTTTATGCGCAGACAGTGCAATAATAAAAGAAAAAGACCATAAAATATTTAAAAATTTAGCAACTATCACGAAGAGAAAACACGCATTGTTATCATTAAAAGATTCGTTGTTTTGACGCCTGAAAGTCTTCATTAAAAATCATGCCGAATAAATACATACATACAGAGGAAGGTTTCTTCAAGCATCTGCTCACATCAAGTATGGAACTTTCATTGCAAGGAAAAAAAAAAAAACGAAAAAAAATCAATTTTTAACGTCATCTAGTCAATCGACATCTCAATTACGTTAATATAACTCTTGCTTTCACATTTGCCAACGGAAGCAAAACTTTCTCATCAATTTTACATTCTCTTCTTTAGAGTTTCTTTCATTTTTACTTGATTTTATCGTTTCAATGTGTAGTAAAACTAATTAAATTACTTGTGTACTTTTCATACCCTACTATATACTTATGCCAACCATTATAGCAAGTTTGTGCGTATGAATGCAACATGGGGGAAAACTTGACATACGTTTATTACTTCAGCCTATATGTCCATCTGCCGGTTTGATGCTTGTGTCCATTTTGTTGTATTCAATTTATAGGTCGCAATTTTATTCAACTGTAGTGCTCTGACTATTTGACACTTTCACCTAACAACAAAAACTAACAAATACGATTGGCGATTAGACCAGTTTTGAGATCGCTCCCTCTATTTTGGAAATGCGCTATGTGGAAGAATTTTTTGATATTTAATATATCTCGACAAAATACGGTGCGAAATATTATAATAGATATCGTATACAGATAGGGAAGAGAAATGTGGCGTGGTCATAGTCTGGATGGTGTACATTTGATCGATAAGTGTTGTGCCGATAATAAATTTGTATGCAATGAAATCTTTTTCTTAAAATGTCTTCCACATATATATTCGCAGAAAATATTCGAATTTTTTTTGTAACAAACTTTAATATTTGCTATTTTATGGAGGACTTTACAATAAAATAATCATCTCATGCCATATATGTATGCTGCGGTAAGTTTCGACTACGGGGAGGCCAATCCCCATAAAAGGATTCTCGTGAAAAGTAAGGTGTTAAGTGTTGGCAAGATATATTTTTTATTTTTTTATTTTGTTTTTCCAACGAAGATGATTGAAATTTTGTATTAGACGGTGTTATATAAGATATATAAATAAATATCTAGCCTTGTCCGACTGTAATGTTTTAAGTTGTTTTTGATAAGGCTTTAAGTAACAACCTTGACTCGTCGTTAAAATGATAACGAGCTTTGAAAATTATTCAATCAGTAATAGCCTTGAGTAACTTACCAAATAGAAACCGTTGCAAGAATACGTAGACATAAATTTTTCATCATCCATTAGGTTGACTTAACCTGAATAACGTACATTTTCCAAAAAAAAAAAAAAATAACGAATTTTGCTTTCAAACTTTGCTGCCTATGGTTAGATATTGAACTACATTACTTAATATATTCCGGTGTTTGGGCCTTGACCCAGTTAAAGTTCAATAGAACACACAAACGAGGAACGAAGAAATGCCGAAAAAGAAAGAAAAAAGAGAGGAAACAACAATACACTCCTAATCTTATAAACAATTTAAGGTAAGTAACAAAATGACAGTCACCTAGTGACAGAATAAACAGTAAAAACATTATTTTCACATTACGGTTTAAAATTTAGGTTAACACGTGCGGTGGCATACGCAAGCATTCATTTTTTCTTTTCTTCTTTTTTTTTTTCGTATTAAATCAATTTAATTAAGAAAATTTTATAATGAAACTTACTTGTAGTGTAGCGGCGTCCAGCCTTCATAAAGTTGTAACTTTCGATCAATAAATTTGCCTTTATTCTCTCCGAATACATCGTTATCTGGCGGTATATCACCTACTGGTGATGATATTGTTTGATATTTATTTTTTGGCATTGGCATACCCAACATACTGGCCGTAGTCACAGGGCTAACATTAAACGGTGCAGCTATCTGAGTATTAGGTACATAATGGCCATTTGTGCAGCTATCAAATGAATAAAAAAAAGGGAAATTACTTAACTGCGCAATAAACATGTAAAGGAAAAACAAAAACAATTTTCAGGTCAACTTAAATTCATGCCAAATCAATAAATTCTTAGGTAAGCGCAGGTATGTTTTTTTTTTTTTTTTTTTAAACACTCCTTAATTGTTGTAAATTTTGCACAACATTTTTTTTTGCTTTTGTTTTTTTTAACTCGTATTAGATTAGCAAAAGTAAAAGACGAAGAAGAGAAATATTACATTACCCGGATGGCACAGTATTCACGGTTACAAAATACGTTATGAGTATAGTGAATATTAGGATCAATATCGTTATAATGGCTGTAAATATGGCACAAGTTCTCGATACAAATATTCCCGATGGCCGTCCATTGAATACATACTTTTGGCCATTTTTGGTTTTTAATTGACCTCCTGAAAAGAAAAAGAATACAAAATTATTCGCAAAATTATTAACGAATAAATGAAAATTACTTTTAATGACTAAATCAATTGAAAACTAATAGTTTTTAAATTCCTTTTGCTTTTTTCGGTTTTTTCCTCTTTTTTTTTTAGTTGTAACATGATACCCACGCTGAAGAGAATTTTGTTGTCACATCTTCACTGCAATGTTTAAACAAACTTGTGGTGCTAGCTTACATCAGCATGCGTTACTGGATTTTTAATCGTCTCTAATTGCTTACATTCATGCATTTATCGGTTATTTGTCATCGATTCAACGACGATATCCTCTCATTATGGCATATTGTCGTTACATTAGTAATGTTCATCGAGTTGTTGGGTTGAAAAATGGGCAGCAAAGTGTTTGTTATTTGATTACCTAAGGCTTACCTTAGTAACTAACTGCACAGATACGCAGAACAGAAAGGCGAACACTGCCATTTATAAATATTGATCACATTGTTCTTTGCGTTTAAGAATCCCGTAACTCCGAAATACTCAGCACAAGGAGGCAGTATGTACCGGGCAGTTATGAAAATAAAGTAAACTTAGTCATCTTACTTTACGATACTTAATCGGTTTACTATGATTTGTCCATCCATTCATTCCTGTTTTCCCCCTTTTTAGTTCATCGGAAAAGTTAGTTTTGTTGTTCGCTAAGCGTAGGAAAAACTAATGCGTCTACTAAGAAAGGCTTTTGTACGTAGTATCGAGGAGTAAGTGTACTCTAGATTTGCTAAAAATGGTGCCCTGTCCAAGAAGTAGACCGATTTAATTTTCTCTTTTTTAAATCTATTTTTTAATCCTTGCTAGTAGTTTCGCTCGACGGAAGAAAGTCGTAGGGCACAACCCTACAATAGTCGGAGATAATTGATTTTGGAGAGATATTGCCGTCTTGGCTTTACATTTTCCACAACATTCACCCGATTGAACGATTGCTTCCTGCTCGTATGCATAGATCGAAGTCTCATCTCATTCCATTCCACAACTTCTTTGCTCAACAATCGGAAAGAAGCTGAAACACTAATGACGTTCATGACGTAAAATTTGTCTGTCACAGTGCTATCAATTTAGAAGAAAAAACAAAAAATATTTTTGATATTCGATATACGAGCGTAATTTAACTTGAATAACATGTCTTGCTTCTTGGTGGCAGTACTATTCGTTGGAAGCCTAATAAATTTACTTCTTTTCTAGAGCAGTGTTGCCCTTAAGCAGTCAATTTGTTGTACCGATATTGCTGGTAAGTATTACTGAGAACCAAAGTTGAAGCTGGCTCAAATACTTCCCGTTCAGACCTTAAGATTAGATATAGAAATCCGTATGTAATCCGTCCTTACTCTTTGACAGTTCGATGTGAGATTGATTCTCTTAAGGAAATTAATTCAAAACCATTTCCTACCTTTACTAGCTAGCTTCGAAAGCACAGTAGATGAAAATCTTTAAAAATATATATCAGATTCGATCCGAAATTAATCCCAAAAGTGCAATTGACGCGTTTCCAGTTAGGAAAGAAGCTTGAGATTTCTTCTGATTTAATGTGAAGAGTATTCGAAACTTGACTCAAGTCGACAATAAATTCTTATGTGTGCTTTTGCGTTAGAAGAAACACACACATACATTTATATAATTTTTTCATGAAATGAAAAACAAAACAATTTCCTGAATCTTTCTTGGGGTCAACTGCCCGTTTACAGGCGAACGCTTAACAAATTGAGAAAATTGTTCTCCTTAACTTTTATTGCAAATGACATTTTTACAAATAAATGTTAAATGAGTTATCGTGATTTCAAGGCGAAATGGTTGGAGGCTAAGCGTGCATGCAAATTGATGACGGCAGACATTAAGGAAAATCACAAATATTTGTATTTATTTGCGAAATAATTTAAACGTTGAAGCTTCATGTCACTACCATTTCGGAGTTTTTAAGTTTTGTATTGCTAATGTGCCTCTGTTGCTAATGATCCACTATTATTGCTTTAACAATTCGCCTGGCCTATCCTGTCTTGCACACCTAACCATATTGTCAGTGAACGAATTTTTTGTTTGTTCTCTTTTACCTATAAGCTCGAGCGAAGTTCGAAGAAACTGAATTATTGTTGGTGCGATATTGAAGGACTTGAGATGCAGCGACCTTTTATTCTGAATCGATCTAAGAGTGTTCGTACGCCTGTATTCTTGTCTTGTGTTCGACCTGCAGGCCGCAAATTTTTGAGATACTTTGATACACTGACGTGTTATGTACCAAGCACTAACGCTCTTGAAAATGCTTCGGACTGAACCTTTCTTTTGACCACTTTCCATGTAAAGCCTTACTTTGAAAAGTCGATAATGGCGGACCGCGTCCCACTATATTGATTTTACTTGTTTTTCATTCCTTATTGCCTTTTACATTATCTGAAAAGGTTCGAAATTTTGTAACAAAAATAGTGTTGCTCTTTTGATCTGCGGACTGGGAGACAAACACAACGTCGGAAAAAAGTTTGGAGGATGAAAATAAATTTGCTTGAAAAATTCTAAAAAAGGCACTGTTGCGACGTTAGAATTTATATGAAAATAAATGCAAAAGTGTTCGCCTTAGCAAAGATGGACAGACAGAGAGCAATGCTTATTTGTTTATGCAGAGTGCGAAATGCAATGCATGAACATTGAAGAGGAGCTATTTGTTGTGTGCGAATAAACGAACATGAGAGTTAAGAATCAATCACTTCTTCAGGCAAACGCATTGGATGAATGAATACATGTATGATATATAATAAATAAATACATATTGAAGAGTTGTTCCCATAGATATGTAAATTGAAATATTTGAGATATATAAAAATTATTTTTACAATATAATGGCTCCTAAAGAGGAGAAAGACAGCCTTAAAATCTATAGGGAAACCATAAAAGTTTGGAAAAGTTGACTCACAAGCCAACGAGAATCTAGGCATTTTGGGCTGAAATTCAGGGTCAAGTATCAAACAAATACTAAACTTCAAACACTCGGCAACAAATATTCATAAATTATACAAACTATATACGTAGGCTTGCGTGTTTGTAACGCCTGCGTTTGTAGTCAACAATTGTAAAAATTGAAAAGGAATTTGTGTAATGACCGGCCCTTTCCATGATATTAATAATTAACATATTTCTCCTTTAAATTAATAAAAGCAACGAGTATAAACTCTCTTGCTATTCGTTTTGTTCGGTTAGAAGCTTATTCGCTCTACCAAACGAAAACTCATAAAACATGCTAGAATTTTGAACGTGCAATGTGATAAATACAAAGGCTATAAACTAAATGAAATCTGCAAAACGAACGGGTCTTTCAAACAGTCCTCACAAAAGAAAGTGCTTTTTTTTGCAATTGTTCTTCGATTTGGTCGCCAAGCAAACGTTTCATTTATTAAGTTCTGGAAAAAGAAGGCAAGCAACCAAACAAGCAAATGTGCACTCATCGTTTTTCTTGGAATATACAAAAAATCAAAACACAAATGCATATGTATATATAGCATCTCTCTAGTAAACTAATATCAATGTATGTTACTTTTTAAATTGCTTTCAAATCATTGTAAATCAAATGAATTACTTTCGAATATCAATAGAAATTGCTTACTGGGAAAGCGAATATTGAGCGAATCTCTTGGGCCACAATTATCTTTGAAGATATCATCCAATTCACTTATGCTAATACATGACATTTAGGTCGTACATAACAGAAGAATGCATTAGTGTCTCTGTTCTTAGCATAGTATGTGCGTGTGTGTCATATGAGCAGATACAGTGTCCGTGTATCGCTTTCGTTATACAATAATAACTTTTGTAATTTTAAGTAAAAATCCTTCTAGTTTTGCTTACGCCAGAAAATTTATACACTTTTCATGCTCACATGCTCCGAGTGTTTTGAAAACGTGTACCGATATCGGTACACATATCACGTTACACAAAATAGTGCTAGCTATTGCTTTTGAAAACAATTTTAGAAGACATTTGCATCGGAGTAATCTGCGGAATACACTCAACAAAACTGATGAGTTGCATTAAGGTACCACTCCTTCGAACTGAATTTTTTTCAAGTTTTTATGCTTATAATGCCTCACTTAACACAAACTATTGCAAGATTTTTATTTTAAACCCTATCCTTTCTGAACAATTTTGCATATTGCAGCTAATGTTTCCTTAGGTAAATGTAAAATACATTTTGAAAATCAGAGTAATTTTCATAATTGCAACCGACATAAAAATTCTGTTAACTGAAATTATTATTAATAAATTAAAACTTTTAAACATTATAAAATAGTGATAATGACGTGATTTATAGCATTTTTTTCTGCATCTTGTAAAATGAAAATTTTTTTACGATTTTTGGGGCTTATTAATGATTCCATGTCAGTTTTAAATCATTATAATTCATAGTCGTGTAGAAATAAAAACCAGTTTTCTGTTCACTTTTTTATTACAATCAATATCCAGTGTATGAATTAAGTAAATTAAATTTGATACTCCTTACGGAACACAAGCCTACAGTTGGGTGCCTTGTATCATTCATCAGATGTTTCTGTTGGATTGATTACGTTTGCAGCTGTTCAATTTTGTCGCACATTCTTACGTTGACAGCGGCAAAGAGATCCATCGAAAGAGATCTTTTTTTCTACAGTTTTACTGCCATCGTAGACTGATAATTAGACAGTTGAGATAGCTGAGCTAGAGAGTACGGCGACATGATTTCTGTCATGTCGGCTTTTTCTCCTCGTTCACTGGATTAGGCAGAGGAAGACTATATGTCTTCAGGAACACGCATACTAGAACCCTCTTTGGGGTTTTTCAGAATGATCGATCGCTCTGTGCACAGAACCTCCTTGATGGAGCATGAAGACACATGCGACTGTTTGATCCGTAGGAGGTTAAGGGTATAAGTGAAACTCTTTTCGATCATGCTAGGATGTAATGATCTCTTGTATTGCGTTAACGATCGATAAGTACAGAGA